AGGGGGTGGGTCAGGTCGGTGGTTGCAAAAGGCACTTGTGCAGCGGGTTTTGCCACTGCAAGTGGGGCTTTGGGGAGGGGAAACAGCAGCTCTGCAGCGGCTGCATCGCTGCTGCTGCTGCGGTTGAGGTGGGTTTGGGACAGCAGCTGGGGAGATGCAGCGCCCCAGTGATCACAAATTCACAGCGGTTTTGTGAGTGCAGCTGCAAATCTGAAGTGGTTTTGGGACCACAAACCCGTATTTTGTGATCAGAACTGCAACTTCGCAGCAGTTTTGCGACTGCAGCTCTAAATCTGCAGTGGTTTTGTGATGGCAAACACCGATCTGCAGCTCACAGCTATGAATCTGCAGTGGGTTTGTGATCACAAACTTGAATTTGCAGTGATCGTGTGATTGCAGCTGCAGATCTGCAGCAGGTTAGTGATTGTAGCTATAAACCTAGAGCTCCCTTGTGATCCCAGCTGCACATCTGGAGTGGTTTTGTTGCTGCAAACACCAATTTGCAGGGGTTTTGCTATCACGATAATAAATCTGCAGCGGTTTTGTATTCGCAGCTATGAACTTGCAGCAGTTTTGTGATCACAGATACAAACATGCAGCAGTTTCATGGTTGCAACTGCAAATCTGCAGCAGTTTTGTGGTTGCAGTAGCAAATGTGCAGAGCCTTTGGGGTCACACACATAAACCTGCACCCCTCTTGTGATTGCAACTGCAGATCTGCAGTGGTTTGTGATCGCAGCAAGTTTCCAGTGGAAAGCTGCAGCAGTTTTCCCAGTGCATGTTAAGGGTCCCATTGCAGCTGGAGGGGGGAATATGCTTTTCATGGCCTCAGCTGATGCGTGGGGCAGGCTCAGCCCCTTCCTCACTGGTGGAACAAAGCGGCTCTTGGTAGTGTCTTGGCTCCATCCCGGAGGTGGATCCGTGTCCTGCTGCTCCCGGAGCCACCCTGAGCCCGGTCCCGGTCCCGCAGCGGGGGCCATGTCCTCGCTGCTGTCCCTCCAGGAGGAGAACCGCATCCTGCAGCAGGAGCTGTCCCGTGTCGAGGACCTGCTGGCCCAGAGCCGGGCCGAGCGCGATGAGTTGGCCATTAAGTACAACGCCATCAGTGAAAGGGTAAGTCCCAATAACCCCAAAACCACCCTTTTTCACCCCAAAACTCACAGCAATCCAAGCTGGAACCTCTGCATTCCCCATGCTGGGAGCTGGAGATGCTGTGGCATCTTGTAATGTGTCAGCAATGGGAATTTCAGACTCGGCTTGTCCAGACCTATCCTGGCTTGCCAGGGCTTGTCCTGTGGGATGCACAAAGCATCCTCATCCCCATTTTGTTTATCCTGCTGCTTTTTGGGAAGCAGGACCCCCTGCCGTGGGCATCCTTCACCTTCACATCCCTTCACTGTGGCAACGGGGGATTAAAAAGAGCCTTGGGCAGCGGCCAGATGCTGAATGTGGCTCCTGGAGAGACCCCAGTTGGGGCCCTGCCAGGAATTTGGGGGGCAGCCCCTCCATTTGTGTCTGGTTATCCATAAAATACCCCAAATATGAGGATAATACCCCAAAGAGAATCACCGTGGCTGCACCTGGGGTTCCTTTATCCCAGTGCAAACCAGGCTGGGGCTTTGCTGAGCCCCCAGCTTCAAAGTTGGGTTATTTCTGAAAGCACCCCCAAAATTTCCTGTTCTTCCCTGTGCGTGCAAAAGCGGGGGATGCAGAATTCGGGGGGGTCTTAGATAGTTTGTGTAGGACCCCCAGAAGCGATGGCTTGGTCTGGGACTGGGTGTTGCGAGTGAAGTCGGGGGATGCTCAGAGGGTGCTGGTGGGGGTTTAGCATCCCGATGGATTCAGGGGGTGTCCTGACATCAATCCTCTCCCACATCCCAGCTGGAGCAGACACTGCGGCTGGAGACGGGCGAGCGGGATGCGGCGGAGAGCCGGAGCCTGGCGCAGCACAACATCGAGCTGCGGCGCCTGCTCGAGGAGGAACAAGCCGCCTACAAGCGCAAGCTGCAGGCATACCAGGAGGGCCAGCAGCGCCAGGCCCAGCTGGTGCAGAAGCTCCAAGCCAAGGTAAACCCTTCCCAGGGGACACAAGGATGTTTTGGGGACCCCCGTCTCGGTGTCACCCCCCCCATTCCCTCCATCCAGGTGTTGCAGTATAAGAAGAAATGCGGTGAAGGGTAGCAGCAGCTGCTGGAGAAGGCGACAGAGCTGGAGCAGGAGAGGCTGACGGTGAGGGATGGATTTAGGGGGTCCCCCTGCCCTGAACCCGCCCCCCAAATTAGGGTGGTGCTGAGTGAGATGCTGTCCCTGCAGAGCCAGCTGGATGTGAGCAGCTTGCAGCCGGAGGAGGAGAGCAGCAACGAGCTGGAGAATGCCCTGATCCGGCTGGAGGAGGAGCAGCAGAGGTGAGCGGGGGGTCCCTGAGGAGCTGTCGAACCCCTTGGGGTGATGCTTTGGCCTTGTGTGACCCCCCCATTCCCCACACCCCAGGAGCACCAGCCTGGTGCAGGTGAACTCGATGCTGCGGGAGCAGCTGGAACAAGCCAACGTGGCCAACGCGGCGCTGAGCGAGGACATCCGCAAGCTGACGACCGACTGGGCGCGGGCACGGGATGAGCTGGAGCAGCGTGAGGCCGAGTGGAGGCGCGAGGAGGAGGTCTGGGGGGGACAGGGATCCCACAGGGAGCAGGAGCAGGGAGAGACGGATGTGGGGATGCAGCAGGGAAAGGGATGTGGGGATGTGAGGGGGATGTTGCATGGAGAAGAAATTGGGGGTGCAGGGGATGTAGATTGTGATGGGAAGGGGATGTAAGGCACAAGGATGCAGGGATGTGATATGGATAGGGATGTGGCATGGAAAGGGATGTGGAACCACTGGGAAAGATGCAGGATCATGGGGAATGTTGCATGGAGAATAATTTAGGGGTGCAGGGATTGTAGATTGAGATGGGAAGGGGATGCAAGGCACAGGGATGCAGGGATGTGGTATGAAAAGGGACGTAGGGCCACCAGGAGGACCATGGGGGATGTTGCATGGAGAAGAATTTGGGAGTGCAGGAGATGTGGCAAGTGATGGGAAGGGGGTGCAAGGCACAGGGATGCAGGGGTGTGGTATGGAAAGGTATGTGGTATGGAAAGAGATGTGGAACCACTGGGAAAGATGCAGGACTATGGGGAATGTTGCATGGAGAATAATTTGGGGGTGCAGGAAATGTAGATTGGGATGGGAAGGGGATGCAAGGCAGAGGGATGCAGGAATGTGGCACGGAAAGGGATGTGGCACGGAAAGGGATGTGGCATGGAAAGGGATGTGAGACCACTGGGAGGAATGCAGGACCATAGGGAATGTTGCATGGAGAATAATTTGGGGGTGCAGGGAATGTGGCACATGGTGGGAGGGTGATGAGTCCCCCAACCCTTACCTTGCAGAGAGGAAGGAAGTTGGGGTGGGGGCTGTGGAGCACCATGGGGATAATGGTTGTGGAGACGGGGGGTGTTGCAGAAAGATTTGGAGACCAAAGGGAAGAGGGATGCGGGGCCAGGGGAGGTGGGGATGCCCCCCCGAGGTGGCCCCATGGGGAGGGACCCCACGACCGCGGTCTGGCACCAACATCACTGCACCCCACGAGCAGACCTTCAACACCTACTTCAGCAACGAGCACAGCCGGCTCCTGACCCTCTGGAGGCAGGTGGTGGCCTTCAGGCGGCACT